TTTTTTATCCAGGTAATTCTACAATTTTTGTGTGGGGTGCCATATGGAACTCTTTCCTATTTTTTATCATTATTATTATTTTCAGTCACATTTAACTTCAATATTTCTTTGTTTCGTAATTACTACGTTATACGAATAACGAGTAATACTAGTACTAATAAGTATACCTCTTTTATTTTATACCTCGTTTATTTTCAGTTTCATGTATAAAAACAGGAAAATATTTAAAAATGAATATACAAATAAAATTTTATAAAGGTATCAAAATTATTTCGGCACTGTTCAACAGTATTTCTAGAACTTATAAGTTTAACAGTGTAACTATTGATACTACTTACCTGGCGAGTGTCAAACTCAAAGACCCAAATCAAAAGTGGTATATTATTATTATGATATTACTATTAGTATTAGGAAAACATACAGCATCCAATAAAAATTTGAGCAGAGTATGATCGGTTCTCGCGTGTCGTTGCTTGTTTGAATACTTTATAATTAATTTATAGTTCTTCCCGTTACTCTGTTGTGGTAACTATTATTATCTAAGAACAACCCCACTTCTTTACAAAGCTGGTTTAATATAAATGACAATTACAACGTTGCACTGATGATTTTAAAAAATCACTGCAAGAATTCTTCTTCCGTTAGTCTTAACTAACTAGATACTTTCATAAACCGATAGCTCGAAACCTAACAACAACGACACCTGTGTTTTGTAACTTTACTGTATTTAGTAGATTTTAACGAAAAGCGTTAATGGTTGTTTGTATACACAAGCAAAGGCCTATATTTTTTCTATTCAAGAATTTCATTATTTATAAGAATACAAAGAAAGGTGTTTGTTCTAAATTACAATCAAATAATTTTACATTTAAATATATGTCTGTTGTATTTAATAGTGACAATATAATTGCAATTATAGCAGTGCGTACAACGATTTTTTTATCCTACAATAGAAAGCTATAATAAATACCATAAACAGATTTAGAATCTTGAGTACTTGAATAGTTTAAATTTTTTAGCAGTCTGTGCTGATCTTTCGCAATATTGCATAACTTATGTAACAAAATAACAAATTGTTTAACTAATTGCAGAAGAGTTGAAAAGGAATAGGTGTCATAAGGCTAATGTATTCAAATTCGATGTCTCCAGCCATTATAAGGCTAATGTGTTTTCCTATGTCAAACTGAGATAATCAAAAACAATGTTACTCTCAAGTTTGTGCAAGTTCTTTTTATTATTTTTTGTCAAATAAAGTTAAAGGTGGGATTTACATTTTAGATTGATTCAATCGGAATAAGTGACGATACTTGAAGTAACGAATAAGTAACAGTGAATTAGTAACCAACTTCAGAAACCGATTAGGTAACGAGAAAAGTAACCAACTTCAGGTAGGTTAGCTCAAATAATTCAGGATTCATGCATGATTAAGTAAAAAGTAAGTACATTTGCTGATTGCTGATAAAACAACTATATTGTTTAGGTTAAAAATAATAATACTATATACAAAGCTAATTGCCTTATATTAAAAATTTGTGTGTGTGCGGGGGGGATTATACAGTGAAAATCAAATGGTTTACTTTACGGTTACCAGCTATATTATACGTACGTAAATCTCACATATATTGATTTTATGATTTAATAGATATCCAGTATTTTAAACTTGGTATAAATCTAAGGCTTCTCTGACATTCACTATTTTGATATTTCTGGGATGATAAGGAAAGAAACATTTTTATTGTTCTTGTTAACTAGGGATAACTGGTATACATAATACAGCTACGAAAGTAAAACTAAAAGCAATGAACTTGAACTGTTGGAGATCGGAGAAACCCAGAATTTACGTCACATTTCACATTAGTGAGTACATAATACATAACTACCAGAAAACTTGTGGATTTCTCTGGCATGTTTTGTCTGCATAGTCAAGGTACATACATCTGTATGGAGATATAAAAGTATAAGTTATAAGGCACAACATATACACAAACAGAATTTTTAATAGATATCATCCTATAGGCCCTGTACTGTAGCATGATATAACTAAAGGTTTAAAGTGACTTGACTAAAATGTAGAAAATAAGTTTTAACTTTGAAAAATTTAAAGTAATTCACTTAGGTACAAGAATACATGTACATATAGGTAGGATTATGTGTGTGGTCTGAATATTTGTTTGAAAGAAACATTAGCTTTGTACAGAAAAGAGGAAATTTAGATGTGATTGTTGGTGAAATCCAGTATCTTTTGGCTGTGTATTTGACTGTAATGAAAAGAACAAAGAGAGTTATTTTAATAGTTCACATCTTTATAGTTAGGAAGTGTACATGTAGAATATATCTGATTTAGGAACTTTTAACTGCAACGAGAAACTTAATATTTTTGGACTTGTTTCTCTTGGGCTTAAACATAAAACAACTAGATGTGACTTAATTCATCTGTTTACAATTGTTAGGGGCTTGCATGTGTGTGGGAAATATAAAATGAATTGTTAGGAGTAATAGTTTAAGCCTTAAACTTAAGCTCTATGCACATTGTTTTCTTTGACAAAATCTTTTTTTTTGGTTTAAGTTATAAACTTGTGGAGTACAGGGTGTCCAAAAAGTCTGGAACCATAGGTTATTTTGCAGTTTTTTTTTTAAAATTCTGATTATGGTACTGTTGAAGGATGAGAAGGTCGAGTTTTCTTATTTCAGACACCCTGTAGTATGCTTGATAGTGTGATGTGTGTGCACAGCTAGTATGCATTCTTGCAAGCTTCTGTTACCTAATTAGATGTATTTAATTTGTTTTGATAGGTGAGTGCTAACCTTCATGATTCAACCATAAACTTTAATCTCACTTAAAGTTGTTTACATTTTTATTGTTCAAGTTTTATGTCATGAAAGTTAACGAGTAACTTGTATATTGTCAAACAATCTTAGTAATTTCACCTTTATATACATTTCACAGTCGTGTTTTGATCACGATGGGTAAGATTAGACGGTCGAGGCAAAAATACCATCTCCCTGCAGTGAGAAGTAATACACTGAAAATTAATGACGGGAAAGAAGAAATTTCAATTAAAGAACCATATTCACAGGTAAGGTTTTGGTAGCATGTAGAAAATCACTTAGAGTATGGTTTTTGTCTTTTTTTTTTCATGAGGTTTGTGATTACTGGATAGAGTCTCTGATTAAATTCTTCTCCAAATTGCAAGAAGCAGAAATTCAAATAAATGAAACAAGTATTTTTACAAAAGTACTTTTGCAATTTAATAAGTTTCAGTTTTAAAAATATCTAAGATGAAAAATACCAAGTATTAAAAATATTTCAAAATAAGATTAAGTAATCATAAATCTATGGTAATTTTTAACACACTTTAGAGAAGCCTCTTCACACAACAATATATTTTTCGAGCTACCGGTTTTTTTTAATGCCTTTTTTAATCAACATTTTTCCAAAACACATTTAAAGAATCACTTTTACTCAATGCAAGAATACCATATGTAATCTAAATCACAAACTGTGAGGATTTTAGAAGTTTAGTGTAGAAAATGGGAATAACTTTTTTACCGACTGTCAAGAAGTCAAAGAAGATAAATTTAAAACTTCCAGAAAAGTTAAACAAACTTAACACTAAAAAAACTGTATACAGTGAAAGTAACTTTACCTGTTGAAGGATGGGTCCTGGAGCTGAATTAACAGAAGATCTGTACAGAAGTAATATTTTATCTTCTGGTCATCAGTTCACTTCCCAATGATTCAATAGGATGGTGTGTGTGATTAGTGATGTCAGGCAGTTTAATTTTTTTTTTGGGGGGGGGGGAGCACAGACAGAAAACAAATTACTTTTGTTATCAGTTAATAATTATAAGTTACTTTGACTGACTTATTGGTTTCCAATACAGAAAAATATTTGAATATATTTAATTACATGTTTGTACAGGAACTTGGGATTACTAAAAGTATATGTAGACATTTAGGGGAGGGACAATGCCACTGGATCTTGTTCGAACTTTAATTGAGTAACTAAACTAATAATCCATTGTAGTTTGTTTTTATTTCACATTATTGCTTTAATTTCAGTGAAGTTATTGGTTAAAAATCAATGTTTACGGAGAGGACTTAACAAATTATTGAATTTTTTAAGAGTTAAAAAGAAAGAATTCAAAGTAAACATAGTTAAAACTGGGCAATTAACTTGATTAATTGATGTAATACATTACCTGGGAGCATTGAATACATTGATTTGTGTTACATAAAATAATTGATTAATCAAAATTATGATTAAATTAATTAATGTTACAAAAATAGTCAACATATTGAACTTGGTGTTTCTGATTATTCCAATTAACTGAAATATTGCCATTATGATTTTTCATGATTGTTTTTGATTAATTCAAGGTGATTCAGCTTGATTGATTCATGTGATGACTCACGAAAAATAATTAACTAATTTTAATCAGTGTTTCCAATTATTACTAAATTTTAACTTTTCCAACTTTCCAAGTCTTTCGTAATTGATTAGTGAGTCCGATGATTAATTGATTATGAAATTCCACCAACTGCCCAGCTGTACATGTAGTTGGACTTTTACATTGGTTTGTGGTGATCAAATCAATTAAAAAGTAATAAAAAAAACATTTTGTAAATGTAAAATGATGTAGGGATAGCAGTGCCAAAAATACTGCCAACAAGGATATAGGGATGATATTGCTGTACATAGATCATCCTTACATGATTTTCAATATCAAAATTTAATGTTACACTGTAAGATGCACAAGTACAAAAAGGTTAGGAGGTCAGTTGTATTGACCAACCTCATAGCGAAAGTCTGCCATAATCAAGACATGTTTGACTCAACTTGGTTTTCCTTGTACATAATCCTAGGCTCTTAGTTACACTACATTGATGCCTACCCTGACCATGATATTATGATAAACAAACTACATATCAACAGTCAGGAATATATAACTTCCAACTGCATTAATATTAAAGTCAAGTATGCATTTTACAATGTAACATTAAATGTTAATACTGAAAGTAATGTAGGGATGATCTATGTACAGCAGTATCATCCTTATATTCTTGTTTGAATTATTTTTGGCAATGCCATCCCTACATCATTTTACATTTACAAAATGTTTTATATTATTTGTTTTGTGACTTTTTCTTTTCCCTTACTGAAATTTAGTGTATTCTATGAATGTGTATAATAAGATTTAATATTATGTGTATTGATTTTTTTTTTTACTCCCTCACTTCATACATAATATAAGGGGTTGGCTCCCTCAAGACACTAATTGTATAGTGTACAAAGCATTGAATATTCTACATGTTACAGTCATCTATTATTGGCTGGTAATTCCTGTTTCACACTGTACTTAAGCTTTTTAAAGTAACACCAGGTTGCTGTAAGAAAGTTAACTTCAAGGAGTAATGATAACATCGTTAACACTAGAATTATAACTATTTTTAATTACTACTTGTTATTACAACTAAGCGATGACATCGTGCACTGTCTAGAAACACATAGAATGGATTTAGGCTTAAACTGACGTTAATGATAAAGTAGTTGTAGAGTTATCTCAACTGAAACAACAACAAGAAAGATGAACAATTTTTTGGGTTGGTCACTTTCTGGTTTAGTATCTTAGCGATGGTTTCTTGTCTTGTTTTGGGGCTTGTTGGGTAGAGAAACAAATGAAAGTAAAACTCTCTCTTATTGTTGATTTTTTAGTGTACATATTTGTATTATGCCTTGGCCATCCCTATGTATAGAGTCTGTCGACTCTGTGATACTATGACTTCCACTTTTCAGTTTTATTAAAGTTTTAATGATTTTTACTTGTATATACTCTTTGTTGAAATTACGGGAACTTGAAAAACAAACCTAACATGTATAACAGTGTATCACTGCATCCAGTGAATCATGCATTCCAAGACATTGAGATTTTTTTTTACCATGTATTGGGTTTTTAAGACTCTTCTACCAAAAACGTGTACATATATACTTCTACATAAACTGAGCAAAAGTCAGTATCTTAGAAATACAGATGTAACTATGGATATGTTTTAGTCAAGTAATTTTTATTTCAGAAACTTGAGAAATGTACGAAAGAATCTGCTGACTCGTCTATATTTGAAAACCTTGAAATTGACTTAAGTCAAATCAAACAACTGCATGATTGTGACAAGAGAAGCATAATTTCAAATAATGGTGTCGGACCACAGTTGTCAAAGAAAGAGAAAAGGAAGCTGAGGCATGACGGATTTTTACAAAGTATGTGATCCTGATTTTCAGTAATCACTTTTATAAATACAACTATAACTTTCTCTGTTCATAGGGGTTCACATCTTACGATATATGAAATACTTATTAGATCTAAACATGGTATAAGTAAATACTTATTAGATCTAAACATGGTATAAGTAAATACTTATTAGATCTTAACATGGTATAAGTAAATACTTATTAGATCTAAACATGGTATAAGTAAATACTTATTAGATCTAAACATGGTATAAATAAATACTTATTAGATTTAAACATGATATAAGTAAATACTTATTAGATTTAAACATGGTATAAGTAAATACTTATTAGATTTAAACATGGTATAAGTAAATACTT